CGGTCTTACACTATAATCTTAAGGGCATGTCTCAGTACGATGTCTATAATTATAAATACTGCCAAATGTGATTACAACGTTAACGACATTTACATTTTGTTTAATTCATTAGGAAGTTTGTTTCGAACATGTTTGTCTATCAGTGCGTTAATTTTATTCGTCCATTTATTCTTATTCTTCTTTCGCTCATTCATTCATTCGCTCATTCATTCATTCACTCACTCATTCATTCATTCATATCAATGATAATTTGTTAATAATATACTTTTTTTTTAGCTAAAACTTCTATCTGGGGTGATGTGTTCATTTTTCGCTTTTAAAAATTTTTAACTTTATTTAAAACTTCTCTTTGGGGTCCTGCTTTTCGCATACTTTTAATTTTATCTTTTATTCTGTAAATATTTCAATCCTATGTACCATTTTCTAGTTTTTTTTAGCGGTATCACATCAATTCATCCATTCATTCATACATTATTCATTCATTTATTCATTCATTCAATCATTTACTTTTTGTTTCTTTATTTCGATTTAACATCACTTAACATTATGAATGAATAATTCTGGTTTCTTTTCAGATTTGATAGATATCTTGACGAACTTTAACTGCTTAACCTTATAGATGTAATATCATACAAACACATACACTCACATATACACACAGGCACACACACATATGTCATATATCATTTTAGGATGGTTATGAAAGTAATAATTTTCTTTTTTATTTCCTGTATTGTTTTATTTCTTTTAAACTTTCGATTTTAATTTTAAAGTATTGCAATAAACATAGACAAATGCATGTACACACACATACACACCGGACATACACAAACACACATGCACGTACATACACACATATATATATATATTTGTACAAGTTTTCATGTAACTTTTTAATTTGATATAATATGTAATGATTACGTTATATTAGCTAGTTTAATAAATTTTAAATAAATAAATTGGATGGTTCTTCGTTAATTAATTAATTATATTAATTATTATTAACTAATTAATGAATTATTTACTATATTAAGTGTAATTTTACCTAAATCATACTTAGCGATAAATCTATCTGCTATAAAATATATCTATACATTCTTTCATTCATTCATTTATTCATTCATTTATTCATTCATTAATTCAATCGGTTTATAAAGCGCTATTTCCGCGATGTCCAACAGCGCTCCTCAATGAATTTTGCAAACAGATGGGTCTTGAAGTCCGCTCTGCACTTCCCAAGTGATGGAGTTGTCAGAGAAGGAGTTAGAGAATTCCAGAGAAAAGAACCAGAAAAAACAAATGCAAATTTAACAAAGAGTGCTTAACACGAATTAAGAAGAAGTGAGAACAAGAAGACGATCGTAAACCGGGGCGTTTAGGCTCAATTAATATATCTGATAAGTACTTAGGAAAGAATTTATATTGAGACTTATACACAAATGTGCAAATTTTAAAAATTGTTTTCTATTTTATAGGCATTCAGTGCAAGAGAACAAGATATGGAGATATATGAAAAAAGAGAGGGACACGAGCAACTAGACGAGCAGCAGAGTTAAAAGCTTTACTTAAAGGATAGAGTGTAGAATCAGGAAGACCATAGTAGAGCGAGTTACAATAACCAATCCTAGATAAGACTAACGAAGTAACAAAAAGAGTAGGATTGTCAAGAACAGGCAAAAGTTTTTTATTCTACGTAGATGAAAGTAAGAACTTCTAGTAACACTATTAATCTGAAAAGAAAGAGACATACTAGAATCAAAGATAAGGCACAGACTACGAAACTTTTGAGAAACGTCAAGAGTTTTAGAATCTGGTAAGATAATAGGAAGAATAGTAATAAAGCGTTTAGATTTATTAAAACAAATAAATTCAAATTTAAGACACATAAAATCAGACCAAGCGATAATTGAAGAAAGACATAGAGATAGACTATGAAGAACACTATTGAGATTAGACGGAGGAAAAGAAGTATAAATATAAGAATCATCAGCATATAGTTGACTAGTGAAAGAAAAATTATTAATAATACGAGGTAGTTCAGATGTACAGAGTATAAATAGAAAAGGGCCAAGGATAGTACCCTGAGGTACCCCAAAAGTGAGGGTAGAGGAGTTAGAAGTAGAATTATTAAGAAAATCAGAAGAGATACGATTACAGAGATAGGAAGAAAACTAAGATAGACAAGAATCAGTAATATTAAGCCTCAAGAGAATAATATAATCAGCAGTATTAAAAGCAGAAAAAAAGCCAAGAGCAAGAAGAAGAGTAAGATTACTATATATTCATTCATTCATCCATCCCATCAAACTTCCCATCTTAAAATTGGCCAAATCGGTAAACTACAAAGATTTATGAAAAAAAACCCAGAAATATTTATAAATAATTTTATTTTACACTTCATAGATACGACAACAATAACAAACAATAATACATCATTATATATATATATATATATTTTATATATATATATATATATATATATATATATACTAATTTATTTATATGATCAAAAGTTAGTAGACAAAAACAAATAAAATGATGAAAACATTGAAATCAAACTTTCAAACAGTAACCATTACCCGGTGATTTTTCTTTGCTTTCGGAATAACGTAAATATACACACCCATATATATATATATATGTGTGTGTGTGTGTGCGTGTGTGTGTGTGCGTGTGTGTGTGTGCGTGCGTGTGTGTGTGTGTGTAACTTACATGTGCAATAACAAAAATAGCTAAGGATTTGATAACGTTTTCACAACAATCTATTATAATTGTCATTATAGTATTCAATAACAAGAATAATTACAATAATAATAATAATAAAATTTAACGTTATTATAAACAACAATAATAAATAATAATAATAATTCTGCAAATAATAAATTAATGCAATTGAAGGGAAACGCGCTTTGAAACGAAATGATGAACGAAATAGCAACAAATCATAACAATGTTTCTCTGCATATGTGTGTTTGTGTGTGTATTTATTTGTCTATGTCTCTGTGTGTATTTATTTATCTGTGTGCGTGAATATATGATGTGTGTGTAAATCTATGTGTGTATGTGTGAATCTATGTATGTTTATGTGTGAATCTATGTATGTGTATGTGTGTGTGTGTGTGTAAATCTATGTGTGTGTATGTGTGAATCTATGTGTGTGTATGTGTGAATCTCTGTGTGTGCATGTGTGTGGATCCATGATGTGTGTGGATCCATGATGTGTGTGGATCCATGATGAGTGTGTGTTCAAAAAATCAAAAAACAAAACGAATCAATCTATTTTTCCCACAACCGAAGATCAATTTAAAAACAAAGAAGAAGAAGACAATAGAAGAATAAATTAAATCAACTTTAAAAACCCTGCCTGCTTACGATAAACTGGAGAGTAGTTGACATAACCCAAGTTTCATTTCTTCGTTTAATTATAACTTAAACTTAAATGAAAAAAATGTACAGTAAAATAATAATATAAATATTATTATTATCGAAACCGAAACTGGATATAAATCATAATTTCTAGAACATTAGTAATCAATTAACAATTTAAGGCATAATTAAGGCGCACTAATTTAACGGAAAAACCCAACAAAATTATATATATATATATATATGCATATATATATATATATATCGTAGTGTTATATGCATAGAATGTCTTTTTCCAATATGTTAGATGGATGGATGAAATTATATATATATAATAAGACGAAGAAATACAACTGCGACAGTAATAATAATAATAATAATAATAGTTAATATTTAATTAAATATAATTAGGTCATCCATATAATTATGCAGTAATTTTATTTAATTAGGTAATTAAACCGTCTATATATTAAACCGTTTGTGTGCGTGAATTATTTAAGAAAAAGGTAGTAGAATTAAAAACAAAAATTAGAAAAGAAAAAAAAATTATTTGATAATATTAGGTAAAATATATTAAAATTGAAAACCAAAATCAATCGAACAATAAACCAAAAAACCTGCCAGTCAGACATTCAACCAACCAACTAACCAATCAACCAACTAACCAAACAATCAGTTAACCAAACAATCAACTAATCAAACAATCAACTAACCAACCAACTAATCAATCAATCGATCAATCACTCACTCAGTCAATCAATAAAATTTTAATTTAACCATATAGATTACGTTCGAAAATGAAAAAACTTATTAAAAAATGACATATAAATAGCAATATATATATATACATACATTAAAATCACAATAATAATCACTATTCACGATAAACGTACAAAATATTTATAATATTTAATATAATAACTAACACGGCACAACATTTAGGAGAAGTTTAATTTGGAAAAAATACCAAAATATATATCCTTCTAACTAAACGCCA